CCCGGGACCCCCGCCGGACCCCGCCGGACCCCGCCGGACGCCACGGCGGGGAGGGGCCGTCACCGCCGCTCGAAAGGACGCGGGCGGCCGTGCCACCGTGAGCGTCTGTCCCCTGCGCTCACATGCCCAAGAGCGTGGCTGCTCCACTGAAACGGGTGAAGGGGTCATCTACTCGGGGTAGAAGCAGCGGATTCAGTAGAGCTGGGCAAAATAAAGAGTGCGCTGGTGGTGGTCCCGCAGGGCACCCGGGCAAGACGCCTGGTGTCCTTCCTCTTTTTAGGCTCCTCTTGCCACCCGCAGCGCGCCCCCAGGCACCCGTCATTCAGGGCCCAGCGCTTTGGCGGCAACGGGGCGCAGGGCTGGTGTTGGGGGGGCGACCGGGACCGGCAGGCCTTTGTGCCGGGGGCTGGCCGCGGGCGGTCCAAACAGCTCGGGGCTGCAACACAAGGGGCGGCCCGCGGGCGGTTCGGGGGCGGTGCGGGAGTGGGGGGAGAGGAGGCGCAAGGAGCGGGCCGCTCCTGCTGCGGCAGGGCTATGTATTTGTCAACTGCGGTCGGAGCTGTTTTTGTGCCAGAGAGTTAAGCGGCTGGGACTGCAGTGCAGCAAGTCTCTGGCGCAAAATTTAAGGGGACGTCAAAAACACCAAGCCATCAAGATAATTTTTAGTGCAGTATTTTAAAAAATCAAAATTAATTCCAAAATATGAGGAACAAAACACCAGCGTTTTAGATAAAGATAGGATCCGACCCTGCACCTCTACAACCTTAACCCCTGTAAAAGTTTATCAAAACACGTAGCTCAACCCGACAGCAAAAAGACCCCAGTTTTTAAAATGGGCAAAGGATTTCAACATTTTCTAAGGAAGATAAACAAATGGCCAACAGGCACAAGAAAAAATCCTTCACATCCTCTGTCAATAGGGAAATGCAAGTCAAAACCACAGTGAGATACCACTTCACACCCCTGAGGAGGAGTACGATTTAAAAAAAAAAAAAAAAAGGAAAGCAAGTATTAGGAGGTGGAAAAATTGGAACCCTCATACACGGCCGCTGAGAATGTCAAATGCAGTCACTGTGGAAAATAGCTTGATGGTTTCTCAAAAGCACAGAATTACACATGACCCAGCAATTCCCACTCCTAGGTATGTACCCCCAAATAAAAAACTGGTGTTCAAACCAAAATTTGTATGTGACTGTTCAGAGTATTAATATTTACAATAGCCAGAAGCTGGAAACAACCTAAATGCCCATCCATGGAAGAAAACAAACAAAATGTGCTATCTCCACAGGACGGAATACCATTCAGCTGTAAGAACGAATGACGTTCCGATACATGCCACAGCATGTGTGAACCATGGAAACGTGATGCTGAGCGAACGAAGCCAGTCACAAAAGGTCACATGTTACATGATCCCATTTATATGAAATGTCCAGAACAGAGACATCTATAGAGACAGAAAGTAGATTAGTGGCTGTATGGGCAGAGGGACAGGAGAATAGGGGGTGATCGCTAGTGGGTACAGGGCTTTCTTCTGGAATAATGAAAATGTGAATATACTAAAAGCTATTGAATTGGGCGCCTGGGTGGCTCAG